GCCGAGTCGATCTAGCCATGTCCGTCTGTCCGTCTGTCTGTCCGTCTGTCTGTACGTCTGTCTGTCCGTCTGTCTGTCTGTCCGTATGAACGCTGAGATCTCGGAAACTATAAAAGCTAGAAGATTGGCATTTTGCATGTAGATTTTAGGAGTTCCTACGCAGCGCAAGTTTGTTTCAAAATGGTGGTTATTATTATTTTTATTTAATTGTTAAATTAAAATCGGACATCTATATCATAAAGCTTTCATACGAAAATCGAAAAATTAAAATAAATGAAATTAAAAACCAATTATTATTTTGCTGTTTTTCTATTTATCAAAATATTCCTTTGAGATATAGTAATTTATATATTTTTGACAAAACTAAATGCGTAATATTGCTATAGTAAATAATTACTATATCTGAAAGGAATATATTTTTTTTTAAGTCCTATGAAAAAACATCGTTGCAAATCTGCACAGAAGAGTTTGAAAATAAAATCATTTTAAGCAAAATACTTTTTTTTTTTAGTTTTTTATACCCTTACAGGGGGTATTATAATTTTGGTCAGAAGTTTGTAACGCAGTGAAGGAGACGTTTCCGACCCTATAAAGTACATATATTCTTGATCAGGATCAATAGGAGAGTCGATATAACCGTGTCCGTCTGTCCGCCCGTCTGTCCGTCTGTTTCAACACCGTTTGCGAGCTCAGTTTAAAAGCTAGCGAACTGAAACTTTCACTGCGTTACAAACTTCTGACCAAAATTATATTACCCTCTGCAAGGGTAAACCAATAAAGCTTTTTCGATTTTGTATACGATAAGAAGGGCGATACGTGGTATACAAATTTTGAGAATGCGCCTTAGAATTAAGTCGATTAGGTCGCCGGCCTGTTTTGAGTTGTTATTAAATTTGGCGAGACTGGCAGAGATTATTTGAGAGTTGTAAGGGTATGCAGATAACAGACGTATTTTAATTTTTGTTCGGATTCATGTTGAGTAATCTCCTTATTTTAGTTTTCCATAATAAGAAACATACATATTTAATCATAATCAAAGAAAAACTCTTTCTTTGTCAATAGAATAAAACGCTTTTGCTAGAGATATTGTTCCCGACCTCGACAACCATTTCCTACAAAATTGTTTAACCTTATTGTAAAAAGTACACAACACTACCTCTAAAATAATGGTACATTTGTATTTTTGCCGCTAAAGCCTAGTACTCAGATCGTCAAACGAGTTCGATAGCGTAAAAACTTTAATCTTTCCAGTGTGACCAAAATTTCGAGAGTTCATCAGAATTAAGCGTGCTACTTGGTACTGTCAATCAGCTGGATTTGTTGACAAGCAGTTAAAATTCAAATATCGTATTTACGGCAAAGAGACTTTAAAAGATATTATCAACTACCTTGCCAAGACAAGTCTGCCGCTGTACAAAGAAATAAAAAAACAATTCAATTTAAATTTAACAGTTGTTTTTTTAATCTAAGGATAATTATTTGCTAATTTAAAGTTCATATTATTATTTTTCGTGTGTTTTTTGTGTTTTTTCGTACATTTTTGACCTAAGAAACACTTTGCTCTGACAAGAGGCACCCCAGATAGTATTAATGTTATTTTGTCCTCACATGTAAACTCCTGCAATCGACTTTTGCAGGTTTTTTGATTTACTCTATTTTTTAAAATGTTCAGTGAGAAATTAAAATTTGAATTTAAATTAAATTTTTTTTCTTTTCGCTAGTGTTCACCCAAAGTTCATTTTAGCAGACTGACAAGGCTATGAAATTGTCTGTTATTTTTTCGTCGATCTGAGTATCGAGGTAAAAAAAAACCTGTCGAAAAGTAAAAACCAGCTGTTTGCGTCCCACTCTCTCTCATGACTAGCGGACAGATTTCGTCGATTTGAGTACTAAGCTTAAGCATTGTTGTTAAGCAAGAAAGAAAAGCTAACTTCGGGCGGAGCCGAAGTTGAAATACCCTTGCAAAATATTCTGTAAATTATATTCTCCAAAATTATTCATATTATGCATTCTTAACACTCATAAAAATCCCAACTTCCTAACTTTAAAAACACCAAAGTTATGGCATTTCCAATCGTTCAGTTATATGGCAGCTATAGAATATAGTCGGCCGATCCTTATGAAATTTGGTAGGTCGGATTAATTGGCCAAATATAAAACCCATAGAAAATCTCGACTTCCTAACTTTACAAACACCAAAGTTATGGCATTTCCGTTCAATCAGTTATATGGCAGCTATAGGATATAGTCGGCCGAGCCCGGCCGTTCCGACATATATACTGCGTGCAAAGGAAAGAAGGGTGTATGCATTCGATATCTTTAAAACTGAAAGACTAGTTCGCGTAGAAACAGACCCTCTGCAAGGGTATAAAAATCAACACCCACCCTAATGACAAGGCCAAAATCGGGATAAAATGAGCTCGATTTTTCGGTTTTTTAATCAAAAACCTGGGAAACAGTGGGCCGATGCTGCATACCTCGTTGAATTCGTTACAAAATTTCCAACAATGTGTCATTTACAGAATAAAAATATCATTTGAAAAAATGTTGGAAAAAAATCATGAGCCCCACCCTTCTGACATCGCCACAATGCGAAGAAAATTACCTCGATTTTTGGTATTTTAATCAAAACCCTTGAATATAGTGGTGAATTTTCAAATGGCATACCTCGTTCAATTCGTTACAAAATTTCCAACGAAGTGGCAATAATAAATATAAAATATCATTTGAAAAATTTTTTCGAAAAAAAACCATGACCCTCACCATTATGACGAGGCCCAAATCCTGCTGAAATTACGGCGATTTTTTGGTTTTTTAATCAAAACCCTGGGAAATAGTGGGCCAATGGGCTTACTTCGATGAATTCGTTACAAAATATCCAACATAGTGGCATTTACAGAACAAATATATCATTTAAAAAAATTAAAAAAAAAAAAACTTATGACCCCCACCCTTCTGACAACGCCAAAATCCGAAGAAAATCAGCTCGATTTTCTGTACTTTGATATAAACCCTTGGATATGGTGGTGAATGTTCGAATATGCCATACCCAAGTCGAACTTGATTTTTTGTCCGAGGTTAAGCGAAAGCTCCCTTCTTTTGGATCTTCATAAAGTAAAGCCTGTCTATTCACCGGGTCCGGACGGAGTTCCAGGCTGCGTGCTGAGGTACTGTGCTGAAACTCTGTGTAGACCTCTGTACAAATTGTTTACCTTGTCTTTAAAAACATCTCATTTCCCACTTATTTGGAAGGAGTCATTTGTCATTCCCCTTCATAAGAAAGGAAATAAATGCAATACAAGTAATTACAGAGGCATATCCAAATTATCCGCCATCCCAAAGCTTTTCGAAAACACTATTACACCCCATTTGCAACATCTTTGTAGATCGATTATATCTCCATGTCAACATGGATTTATAAGGCGAAGATCTACGACGACAAACCTCTTGGAGCTAACGTCTTTTGTAATAAATGGCTTTAGAAAGAACATGCAGACTGACGTAGTTTACACTGACTTTAGTAAAGCGTTTGATTCAGTAAATCACTCGCTACTTGTATTAAAGCTAGACTTATTAGGGTTTCCATGTGATCTTCTAACATGGATCTCAAGTTATCTGAGTGGTAGGACTCAACGAGTCCTCTTTAAAAACTCGATCTCTGATTTGATCCGAGTTACTTCAGGCGTCCCACAAGGAAGCCACCTTGGCCCACTTCTTTTTACTTTATTTATAAACGATCTCCCTCTAGTCTTGACAAAGTCGCGTGTCCTTATGTACGCAGATGACGTTAAGTTATGCCTGCAATATAACGAAATTTCTAGCAGTTCAGACTTACAATCTGACCTAAACGCTTTTCAAACATGGTGTTGTGAAAATCTTTTGGATTTAAATAGCGCTAAGTGCAAAGTAATGACATTTTTTCGGGTGAACCCACAATATGCAACGTATACGCTGGGTAGTTGCGCGTTGTCTAGAATTACGCATGTCGATGACCTTGGCGTCCTCCTTGACCCTAAACTTAAGTTTTGTGACCATATTACTTCTATGGTGAATAAAGCCAGGGGAGTACTTGGATTTATTAAAAGGTGGTCAAAGGAATTCGATGATCCCTATGTTACAAAGACTCTCTTCATTTCACTAGTCCGTCCAATCCTGGAGTACTGTTCTGCAGTTTGGAGTCCTCAGTATGGTGTACATATAGACCGGATAGAGTCTGTGCAAAAGAACTTTTTATTATTTGCTCTACGGGGCCTTAACTGGAATGCAAGCCTTATTTTACCATCCTACTCTAGTAGACTTCTCCTAATTAATCTACCATCCTTAGTAAACCGTAGAACGATGCTTGGCACAACTTTTATCTATAAACTTATTCACGGGGATGTGGAGAGTCCCGAGTTACTGGGTCGCATAAGCTTCTCCGTGCCCAATAGAATTACCAGGAACTATGTTCCTCTTACATTAAATATTTGTAGATCTAACTTTGATATGCATGAACCGTTTAGAGTACTGTGTAACGACTATAATAGACTATACCACATTATTTCTACTACCGACTCTTTGCCAAGCCTAAAATCATTAATTTTATCTTACCTAGCACAAAATTAGTATTAGTATTAGTCTCGTACGTATTTGTAATCTTAGTCTGTCCGCTTCTACATTGTGCTTTTAACTTCTCGAGATCTCGTTTTTACGCCTATTAGGCTCCGCGCGTAACAAGCACTGCTTGGTGTCGTAAGGGCCACTTGTTTGCGCTGATCATAGTGCATCAACGTCCGAAAAACATTTTAAGATATTAGTCTTATATATACATATATACATGTCTTATAAAATTTCGAAATATATTCCTAATATAGGCCAACAAACGAGTTTTTATTTATATCAAGTAACTTTTTACACAATTAGCACACTTTAGAAAACTCTAAAACGATAAAGTTGCGCCTGGAATAATACACAATGTATTAACGTAGTTTTGGGCCCATGAAATCACAAAATCTATTAAGTTCAGTGCAATGTACCGTTTTATTTCCAAGATTTTTTATGCGACAATTCAAATGTCCTGTTTTTCCAACTAAAGACGTCACATTTTTTGTAGCTGAAGTATCAAAATAAGGACCTCTGCTTGGGGCCCTGTTCATCTTTACAATATACTCTTCACTTAAAAGGTAGTGGTCGGACATTGCCACTTTTTCTTCTGCATTTTTAGGGCAAGCTTCCCTTAAAATTACTAAGAAAGTTATTATTACATTTTTGTAAATAAATCCTTTCTGTATACTTACAAACACAAAGAAATAAACGTAATGTCAAATAAATTTTCATTTTTAATGCGTTTATCTGTCAAACATTATACATAAACTGCACTTAATGTTTTTAGATGCGTATTAAATTTTATGAATAACCATGCGCAAAACGCATGCGCATTTAAGATTCATCATACACAATTCGTAAAAATCCCAAACCTAATTTTTACCCTGTTTTTATTAAAGCCTAGAACTCAGATCGAAAAACTAGCGTAAAAACTTTTATCTTTCCAGTGTGACTGCATTTTTGGGAGTTCATCAGAATTAAGCGTGCTACGGTCGTACTGTTAATACGCTGGGTTTGTTGACAAGCAGTTAAAATTCAAAAAATCGTATTTGCGGGAAAGAGCCTTTAAAAGATATCATCAACTACCTTGGCAAGACAAGTCTGCCGCTGTACAAAGAAATTAAAAAACAATACAATTTAAGTTTAACAGTTGTTTTTTTAATTTACGATAATTATTTGCTAATTTGTAATCTTGCTGCACTTTTATTGTGTTTTTTCGGACATTTTTAACCTAAGAAACACTTTGCTCTGACTAGAGGCACCACAGATAGTATTAATGTTATTTTGTCCTCACATGTAAACTCCTGCAATCGACTTTTGCTTTTTGATTTTTTCCCTCTATTTTTATACCCTTGCAGAGGGTATTATAATTTTGGTCAAAAGTGTGCAACGCAGTGAAGGAGACATCTCCGACCCTATAAAGTATATATATTCTTGATCAGGATCACCTCCTGAGTTGATATAGCCATGTCCGTCTGTCCGTCTGTCTGTCCGTCTGTCTGTTTCTACGCGAACTAGTCTCTCAGTTTTAAAGATATCGAATTGAAACTTTGCACACACCCTTCTTTCCTTTGCACGCAGTATATAAGTCGGAACGGCCGGGATCGGCCGACTATTTCATATAGCTGCCATATAACTGATAGATCGGAAATGCCATAACTCTGCTGTTTGTTAAGTTAGGAAGTTGGGGCTCTCTATGGGTATTATATTTGGCCAATCAATCCGACGTACCAAATTTCATAAGGATCGGCCGACTATATCCTATTGCTGCTATATAACTGATTGATCGGAAATGCCATAACTCTGCTGTTTGTTAAGTTAGGAAGTTGGGGCTCTCTATGGGTTTTATGTTTGGCCAATTAATCTGACCTACCAAATTTCATAAGGATCGGCCGACTATATCTTATAGCTGCCATATAACTGATTGATCGGAAATGCCATAACTTTAGTGTTTGTTAAGCTAGGAAGTTGGGATTTTCTATGGGTTTTATTTTTGCCAAATCAATCCGACATATCAAATTTCATAAAGATCGGCCGACTATATTCTATAGCTGCCATATACATAACTGAACGATTGGAAATGCCATAACTTTGGTGTTTTTAAAGTTAGGAAGTTGGGATTTTTTATGAGTATTAAGAATGCATCATATGAATAATTTTGGAGAATATAATTTGCAGAATATTCTGCAAGGGTATTTCAACTTCGGCTCCGCCCGAAGTTAGCTTTCCTTTCTTGTTTTAAATGTTTTCTTATTTTCGCTACAGTTCACTAAAAGTTCATTTCAGGTGGTTGGCAACGCGAAGTAATTTCCTTGTATTTTTTTGTCGATCTGAGTACCGAGGTGAAAAAAAGTCTGATGAAAAGTGAGCGCCAGCTTTTTGCCTATCGCCGAAAACTGTACGTCAGTCATGAGAGAGAGCCAGAACTTTGGGTGAGCCCTAGCGAAAAGAATACAAAATGTAATCTTTTGGCACTAAACATTTTAAAAAATTGAGTGAAAAAAAAATCATAAAACCCACAAAAGTCGATTGCAGGAGTTTACATGTGAGGAAAAAATAACATTAATACTAAATTAAATTGTATTGTTTTTTAATTTCCTTGTACAGCGGCAGACTTGTCTTGCCAAGGTAGTTGATAATATCTTTTAAAGGCTTTTTGCTGCAAATACGATATTTGAATTTTAACTGCTTGGCAACAAGCCCAGCTGATTAACAGCACGACCGTAGCACGCTTAATTCTGATGAACTCTCGAAATTTTGGTCACACTGGAAAGATTAAAGTTTTACGATCTGACTACTGAGCTTAACCAAGCTTTTGCTCTCTCTCACATTGACGCTCGACAAAAACCGATTTTTTTTAACGAGATCTTGTTGTCTGACAAACCAAATTAAAAAAAACAAAAAAAATAGTAAAGCTTTTGGAAGTATTTTTATTCTTTGCCGTGGGTATTATAATTTTGGTCAAAAGTGTGCAACGCAGAGAAGGGGACATCTCCGACCCTATAGTCTTGATCAGGATCGCGTCCTGAGTTGATATAAGCAGGTCCGTCTGCCCATCTGTCTGTTTCTACGCGAACTAGTCTCTGAGTTTTAAAGATATCGAATTGAAACTTTGCACACACCCTTCGTTCCTTTGCACGCAGTATATAAGTCGGAAAGCCGGGATCGGTCGACTATATCTTATAGCCGCCAAACAACTGATTGATCGGAAATGCCATAACTTTGGTGTTTGTAAACTTTGGAAGTTGGGGTTTTTTATAGGTTTTATTTTTGGCCAATCAATTCAACTTACCAAATTTCATAAGGACCGGCCGACTATATCCTATAGCTGCCATATAACTGAACGATTGGAAAAGCCATAACTTTGGTGTTTTTAAAGTTAGGAAGTTGGGAGTTTTTATGAGTATTAAAAATGCAGCATATGAATAATTTTGGAGAATATAATTTACAAAATATATCAACTTCAGCAACTTCGCCCGAAGTTAGCTTTCCTTTCTTGTTATTGTTTCTAACTGCTCAAGGACTTGTTCTGCCATACTTATGGTCTGAAAATTCTTCTTTATAGAAGACAGAAATATGTATGTACATATAATGATCTTTACGGCGAGCTGGAATGTTTTTCTGTTTGAAGAGTATTAGTATCTGAACATTTTGTTTAACCTATTTTAAATTCGCAGGCAACTTCAAATTGACTTTTTAATTTAAGATTAATCAATATGGGAGTATGGGAATATTTTGAAGTAAACACCATAAATCGTATTGCTTTTAAAGTTTGCAATGAGAGAACCCGTTCATAAGTCCCCTCTTCCATAAGCTACACTATTTAAAAAGGTGAGCCTGTATTTATCATTACTAACGGCTTAAGCAGTTCTGAAATCATTACAAGAGGCTTAAGCAGTTCGGAAATCGCAGCTAAAATTCATCGTCCTTTTTTTCAGTATGACGACTGAGACGCTGGCAGAGCTAAGGGCAACGCCGGCAGAACTGATTGCGTGAAACACTGAAAAAATTTCATCCCTCTCTCTTACTCTGTTGTCATTCCCAAAAAAGGAGCTGACAGGAGAAGGGAATTTTCGAGAAATGTGATTTTTTAGTTTGTTGAACACGCCACACAAGGATGGACCTTGTTTTCGTGTATTGACGAATTATTCCTAAAGATCCCAAAAAAAGCGGGTAACGGGTGCTCCATTCTTGAGCAAATCAGGTGTGGTCATAGCCGGTCAAAAGTTAATCAAGATGTGTTATTACAGAAGACGACCGTGTCTGTCACGGCCGAGAATCCATAAGTCTGTCGGGTGTCGTCTGCGGAGACGCCGTCGACCCAGTGGTGTTGCAAGATGTCTTGCCAGACAGTTTGCATGTGTGAGCAAACGTTCCCTGTATCGACTTGAGGATTTGCAAATCGTCTCCGTTACCGTCGGCACTCCCGTGTCCTGGAACATAACTCGGTTTTCTACATAATGGTGCCACTTCACCCCTAGCATCCTCCTGAGAGCCTTTGTAATGCAAGTTTGCACGGACCAAGTACGCTTCCCTGCGGGAGACCAGCACGAATTGGGCGAAGTCCAGAACGGTGTCCACGAATGTCTTCAGCAAACTCCCTATTATCTAAGAACGATACAATGAGATTCCAGAGCCTTTCAGGCAAAAGCGGCATTAGCTTGTAGAACAGTCCTTCGTGCCAAACCCTGTCAAAGGCCTGTCGAACATCGAGAAAAACGGCGGAGCAGTATTTGTGGTCTTCGAAAGCCCCCAGGATATGGTTAATTACTCTGTGCACTTGCTCGATAGCTCTATGGCGACTACGGAAACCAAACTGGTGGTTCGGAAGTGCGTCTTCAAAGGCTACCAAGCATGATCCGCTCAAAAATCTTGGAGAAAGTGGACAGCATACTAATCGGCCTATAACATTCCGGGCAACATGGGTCTTTTCCTTTTTTTGCCACCATTGTGACTTATGCTCGTTTCCAAGGTGATGGAAAATAATCAAGGTCCAGGCAAGCATTAAAGAGGAGACAGAGCTGTGCAATGACAGAGCTAGGCAGAGCCTTTGCTACTTTGCCATCAATCGCGTCCATGCCAGGAGCTTTAGAAGTAACCAGTCGCTTTATATGACCACGTACCTCATCTTCGTCTACTGGACGGACAGTAACAGGAGGGCCAAATGAAAGTCCTAACCTAGAGATTGTTGTCTGGACTTCTTCGCTTGTTGCAAATTCGAATGGAGTAAAGCGATTTTCAAGATCATCAGCAAATACTTCAGCAATCTCGGAATCACTGTGGGCCAAAGTCCCATCACCACGTTTAAGGGAAACCTCTGAAGCGGCTGTCTTTTAAGGTTGCGGGTGCATTTCCAGAGTGCAAAACCGTGATTCTGGTTAGGATCAATTGCACTGAGCTTGTCTATAAAAAAATTCTGACTTGGCCGAACGGATGACTTTCCTTAGCTCTGATACAGTAGCCTTCCACCTTGCCATATCGATGGTATGCCTCGTCCTCATCCAGACACGGCATAGTGAATGACCCTTTCTGGCCAAGGCAGCAATTTCTGGCTTTGAATGAGCCCAAGATGGAGGCGGAATAGGTATACTTCTAGGAGGAGGGGCAGCTTGATGGATCTGTTCAACTAAGACCTCAGCAAAGGAATCTACGTCGTCCACAGAAAAAGAGAAGGTTGCTCCTGAGTCAGAGCAGTAAGTTGCGCACTGAATCTTTTAAGATCCGAGCCCCGGGGAAGAAGCCTGAATTTGGTAACGATCGTATAGGCAGCCACGCAAAAATATATCAGGAGCGGAATATGATCAGAGGAAAGTCCCGGGCA